GAACCCCTACTTCTTTGCAGGGGATGTCGATCCCCTCCCCCGCGTTATTGAGTTGAATTCGCGCATACGGGGTTCGAGTGGGGGAAGGGAAGGGATCCCCTCCCCCATTTGAACCCCGTATGCACTGGAGTTCGCTCGATCAATACCTCTGAAATCATTCACACCATCCCCGCTTAGGTGCAAGGGAGGGGATCGCTCCCCTCCCTTCTGTCATGGCGGGGTTCGGCGGAGGGGATCGTTCCCCTGGGGATCCAGTTCCCCTCCCCTCCCCAGCGGGGACGTACGTGCATACGGGCCTTAGAATATACAGAAACTGCTCTAGTTACTCGGACTTCAAAGATAGAATAATTGAGTTGGGTAGAACATCTTTTGATAATGGATGGGAGTGTGGGTACTTTATGAACATACTATGTCGGGCTATGATAGATAGACCTTTCATTTTACGCAAATACGGGTTTGTAACGGCGATACATCTTCCTCTGATGCACGAGCTACGTGCAGTGTGGACTAGTGCTAACGCGCCAGGATGACACTGTAAGATGAATTCAAATTCGACCTCATACACATCACAACATTAGTCTCAAGTCTCATTTGCCTGAGCGTGCCTGATTACTTTCCCAACTTCTACTTCTACTTCTAATATTTTTTTGACTTTTGACATCATAGGTATTCAAAAAGTATTAGCGAATTTTACGTCTTTTGAAGCTTTCTTGTGAACTACTGATGAGGGCCGACAAGAAAGCTACACATCCGGTATAGTTCTAAGGCCCGAAACCGGTTGTGTGTAAACACATATACATATATTTCTAATTTTGTATCTTGTCTTCTAGCTCAACTAGTACTTAAATATAATAACTTCCTTTGTTTCATATGATGATTCAGCATTTGCTACAGCTTCGAACTTGTAGTTAATTTTGCACAAAAGAACTTGCAATCACTTTCTATTAGCTGATAAGTGAGCCTCAAACGTGAGATGGCTGAAGTGATATCTCAAGAATGCACAAAGAATCAGGTGATGAGAAACAATGACGTATATCGCAAGAAAGTCAGAGTTAGATAATAGTCTTTTTTTGTGTTGAGGGCTGTACATCAGTATATGCAATCGTTTTTTTTTGCTGATAAGTGAGCCCTCAAAACGTGATAAAACTGAAGTGACATTAACCAAAAAGCGCACAAAAACGAAGTGACAAGAAAGCAATGACGTTTCTGAATCGCAAAAGGCTAAAGTCAGTTGATCGTCTTTTATTTCTATTAAAAAATTTCGCGCTTATATGGTCTGCTAACACAAATAGACAAATGAGCAGCTCTGCAACTCAATAACTCTACTCCGTCATCGTTCAAGAATTTCAATGAAGAATCTTATATGCAGGTTTGGAGTAGCAATCCTACTCCTACCTATATAACGTTACATAGGAAAATCAGCAACGACATCAAATAACCGTCTTCAGTAGTTTTGTGCTGTTTTAGTTGAAAAAATATAGCACTAAAGTGTTACAAAAGTTATTTTTTAGTCAAAGTTCCTTTATTGAATCACAACTTAACTCTTTCTACTTTCGTCCTAGCTACTTCTTCGTTTTTAGTCGATAGCATTTTCTTTGATACTCCACAAACTTTGCCTGCATCCGTCGATCAAATGACTTCGAAACTGTGGCATTTGGGCGGAGCCGCAATTGTTTGCATCCGTTATCTGTGAGGGGTTACGGTATTGGAAGGACAGAGCCACAGTGCAATATAAAAGAATCTTTATAATAAAACCACCACCAGTGTTTGCCAACATTGGCGATTACACCTAAAACTCACTGCTCTCATAATACCTAGCCCTTAATGGATCTCAGAACATTGCCATTTTTCCGTCTCTTTCTAAAATTTTCTCTGTTTTCCAGAAACTCGTTGAAGTCATTAGTTGGTACTGAGGATCTAGGCCCTGTTAATTATTTTTTAGAAAAAATGTGGTCTTCTCAAATTTGTCGATAAACTTCAGCTCACGAACTGTGGTTCATCGAAGATTTTAATAGCTTGAGATTTCGCTCAATTATACTATAGGCATGTTTAGCAGAGCATAATATTCATAGGAATAACTTTGAAAAAGAGAAGTGATCACACAATATTCTAGGCCTGTTTCGAAATGTTATCATCCATTATCTGTAAATAGCAAAGTATAAGAACCTTTGAAAAATAGATGGACAACGAGGACTAGAGATGTCCACGGCACCGAGACATGGCGTCACTCCTCAGATTCTTCCCCCCCCCCCCTCCCCTTCCTCGGGGTTGTATGCGTATACTAAAGGCAGTGGCTCGGCAAAACCAAACATACCAAAATTTTGATACGGAAGGGTTGCTTGCGTCCCAAACATGGGAACAGAGCAGTTCAGAGAGTACAGCATGCTCCGCCTAGAAAAGCGCCCCTAAACCCGTACGCAGCCATTCTTACACGCCCTCGGACGAGGTTGAGATCCCCTTCCGACCGTCAGGGGCGGCATGCCGCAATGCTATAAACATGATGGTCCCAACGAGTCTACATCTCTAACTATGACGTGACGCGTTACACTCGTCCAAATTCAAGATGTTGGAGCTTGAAAAATGCTGGTTTTCACCGTTTGCGTGCTCTTCAAAGTGTATTCTCGGAATCAGCGCGTCGAAATACCCCAGGTAAACTAAAGAACTTCAAGTTGAGGATTTACCGAGCCACTGCCTTTGAGTCAGATTCACTGCATTTTGAAAGCGTACACACTCATCTGCTACATCCACAGGGGCTCTCACAGGTGGCTTATGAGCAAGCTAAAAATGCTCGAAACTCTGTATCCGATCGCATTGTAAGCATAACCGCTCACAGAATGTGCAAAATCTCGTCCCAACCTACGCGGAATTCCCGAATTCGCGACATTCACGAAAATTTTGCACATTCTGTGAGCTCTAGAATAGAGTATATAGCACTTTTACTGAGAAAGTGCTGTTGCCTTCTACACAAAAATATCATCTATGAGCCAAATACAGGGAATTCATGTTATCGAGAACTTTTCCTGCCATTCAAACAATTCAACGATGCGATTCTGCACGCGTATATGCATTATGAGTAAAACGGTGCCATCTTTGTGCTCAGTATAACAGCTGTCGTAAAATACTTTCAATAATAGTCAATATCGAAGAAGGACGCAAAGACGCTATGAACGCTTCAACTCTTATCTAGTGGGAAATTCATAGCAAATGAGAGTTCAAATGGATGTACAAATTAACTAGATAGACTTGATGCGTTCGCAAAAGTCATAATGCATACGAGTCGTTGCTGCGTGTTCAACTGTATCTGCCGCATTTTATTCGTAAAGCTCTGAGATCAGTGGCGGCTTTTCTTCTCTGATGGCTATTTCCAGAATAAAAACATTAAAACCCGCACTACTTACGACTCTCACTAGCATAAACTTTTTGAATGAAACATACTTCGATAATGTGTCAAGAAAGTGAAGCCGAGTAATCATTGAACAAAACTTTTCGTCCCCTTTCGAAGTTATGCAAAAAGTCTTCGCTAAGAGTTGAGCAGTGGTTTTGGTTCTGGTTTGGCTATATTATAGAAGAAGTTTCTTACTTTTTGAAGCATTTGCATGAGATTGTCAATATGATCTCAGTGCAAAGCATTCGAAAAGGTGCTGTACTCTTTGTCCTCATGGCTCTATAAACTTTGCCATATCGACCTTCAAGTACTACTGGCACGGCCCTTTGCGGCGAATTGTGTCGAAACCGTACCGTAAGTGCTGCAGCAGAGGGCGAAGGTTTGAACGTAAAAAATAGAATTCTTCAATCTTTTTTAACCAACTTCTTGGTAATCGTTCTTTTTATTCCCATATTCATTCCTATTTTTTCTTTAAAAAAGCTGCAAGTTTGTACTGGTATCAATGAGTATAGGCGATTCATTCACGCAAAGACTGCGTACGTATCGGCGTCTTTCTGATCAAGCGCTCCTTCGTTTCTCTTATCATCTGCTGTCTCTCCCAGGCACGAGCTATTTTGCTCGGGCGCAACGGAGCCCAGTCTTTGCGTGTTATGAATCGCCGAAACGTGCTTTTTAGGTTCTCTCCTTCGGAGCACTTTCCTCTGCTCTAGGCCTGGAGCCTCATTTATTGAAAATTATAACGAGCCAAAAGCGAACGCACAAAACTAGGCTCCCGAAAACAGTATCTCAATATCCCATGCGGAGATTTGATTTGAATCACTTCTTCAAAGGTGTCTGTATTAGACATAAGCATAAGAAGCAGGGGCAACGACAAATCTTCCAAAATCCTCATCGCTAGCTTCAGAAAACATCGCTTGCTTGTCTTCCTTTATCTTCCTGACACTTTTGATGATGACCTAAAAGAGTCAAGTATCGCTTGCATATTGAACTCGCAATTATTAGGTTGAACCGAAAGTTCTGCCGTTTCATATTCAAAAATTTGTAAGTTCACGTTATTTCAACGGATTTGCTTGCTTGTAATTTTATTAGAAAGACTAGGTCTTCCGCGTTCAATCGCTGCTTTGTAGTGCTTCTGTTTCACACTGAGTGCAGAGATAAAAATGGAAAACTAAGACCATGTAAACTTTGACCATTTTAAGTTAAGTCACCAAAAATCTGGAATGCTGCAGAGAAATCTGAACTTGTCAGTACATATGGTTTTGGCCTACTCTTTGCATTTGTGAAAAGTTTGTGCTGTTTGGATGTCTCTGTGAGAAGTTATGATTTTCGCGAAAATTGACAAATTTATTAATTTTGGCGTTTTCCATAGTAAACTCGATATTCATAACCTCTCACAGAGACGCCCAAACAGCACAAACTTTTCACAGATGCAAAGGGTAGGCCAAAAACATATGTACTGACGATTTCACTTGGTGACCTAACTTAAAATGGCCAAAGTTTACATGGTCTTAGTTTTCCATTTTTGTCTCTGCACTCAGTGAAACTGAAGCTCCACAAAGCAGCCATTAAAAGCAAAAGATCTAATCTTTCTAATAAAATTGCAAGCAAACAAATCCGTTGAAATCTCGCGAAGTTATAAATTTTCGAAAATGAAACGACAGAACTTTTAGTTCAACCTAATATAAGAATTAGAGGTACCTAGAACGCTTCAATGAAGTTTCTGATCCTGATCTTCGCAACTCCACTGGCAGAGGCTTTTACAAAGCCAATAAGCAATGAGCTAACTTTCAGGTATGTGTTACATCTCTAGAGTAAGTAGTCGAGATCATCGACCTTTTAGAAGCTCAGACCAATGTTCTTGCTCCTGCCCAAAATGTACTAATACAGGTGAGCGGTATTCTTGAGTGGACTCGAAATTTTTCATCAAGTGAATGAATATCGAATAAATTCGAAATTCAAAAATTCTTGTGAATGAATCTCGGGTAAAATCGGAAAATCAAAAATATCGAATGAATGAATATCGATTATATTTGAACACTGAGAGTCGAATTTCGAATAAATATTCTAATAAGTTATCGAATAACTAGAGCAACCATCTGAATCTTGCTGACATATTCGGCTAAAGTCGATCCATTCATAATCCGCACTCTCATATCCCCTATACCAACTCCTAGCTCAAGATTTCAAAAATCAGTGAAATTGATAAAGTAGATTTTTTTTCTCGAATTTCTCGAACTCTTTCCTAGACGGGCGGTACAAACTGTCGTCCTCTAAGTGGTGTCTGGTTATGGCCATGTCTAGATCACGTGAGATAACTACGAAGTCGCCTACCTAATCGCTCACCGCTCTAATCTCTCCACGAGAGCAGAAATCACGCAGCTCCTGTAAACCAAGTCTTTGTGCGCGCGTAGATTGCTAGTGGGATGTTTTTGAGATAGGCGCTGCAAAACGGCGCAAACCGAGTAAGCGAATTGTCTGAACTTGCAATCCACGGAAGGGACAGGCTCCTGAGGCTTAAACAGCAAACTAGTGAAGAGCGGCACCGGTAAACTCCTATCGCCGACGTCTTGTCGCAACAACTGTTTTTTTGCTGATTTGGTGCCAATAGCAGTCCGAACTAACTCATTGATCGAAAAAGCATCAATCAAAATCCATACCTATTTTTACAAGCAGTCGGAGGAACAGCAACTCTTTTATACAGTTTTAAGGTCACACGATTGATTCACCATTTAAAAGATTTCAAAACTTTCGTGTCAACCTACGTAATATCTGTCCCAGCAGATAAGAGCATTTTCAACAAAAATATATTTAAACGTTGATATAAACAAAGTTCTTCTCAAGGCGCACAAATATCTGTATTTGTTGGGAAATGAGCACTGACTCTCCTATCAACTTTTCATGCTTCAAGCCTCAATGTTATAAGGTGTAACGCAGAGGTGAACATGCTGATTTTAGAATTGAAAACAAGAAAATGGTTTGCAATAGTGGATTTCAATGAAAAGCTCTGTCATAAATAATCAATATAGGTAAACCGAAGCAGGGGAGCTGGTATACAATAAAAAGTATGTTTTAGCATTTTTCGACCTTATAAGTTTTTACGGCAGAGACTCAGGCAGTCGATGGGATACCTCCGGAGGGCAAAATGGGGGTGGCCGAGGTCTCTTCAGCGGGGGGTTCGCCACTCGTTCTCCGGAGCCCTCCTATTTTGTGCCCCGGATGTCCCCCGCGGCACGCTGCAACTAGCCCCAACTAAGCTTGAAACCCCAATTATGCCCCTAAACGCTACCCAAATTAGCTCAACACCGCCCTGGGGAGTCCATAAGCAACACGATGGTTGCGTCCATTTCATCTATCTTCCATGATCTTATGGTTCCATTTGTTGAATCGATTATGGGCACTACCTAATGATATAAGAACTTAGAACAACATAAATGCCAACGCGCTAAAGAGCAACACGAAAAAAAAGAACGGTAAAGAACACGGAAAAACAACAGCAAGTCAAACGAGAGCCGAACACCAAAAGTGATTGAGAGCATCCGCATGAGAACCCAAAACATGTAACGCGAAAAGAAGGAAGATAGAACAACATAACGCCGACACGCCGAGGAGCAACACGAAGAAGAAAAAGAAAAACGAGCAAAAAAGAACGACAAGAAAAGAGCAAGTTTAAAAGCGAGGACAGCGTAATTTCGAAAATGCTGAGCTGTGTATCAGCGTCAGCGTCTCAAATGGCTGCATACCTAAGCGCTCAGGAGGTGCTGCGCGCTTAAAGCTCTCCGGGGTTCTCCCAAATTTTGGGACACCTCTCGAGCACAGATTGGCGCGTTCTTCGGTGGACTCGCTTTTACCTCCTAGTGACGCCATAATGACGTCATCACAAGTGGCCCGCTCCTTGCCCCACCCCCTCAATGGTTAGGATCGCCTTTTAAGGTGCTCCAGATCTGGTCCGCTCCCCGGAGGTTTCCCATCGGCTGTCTGAGGAAAAGAATCCTAAGTAAAGTGCATTTGCAAAGAATTGTTATCATTTATCCTCGACACCGGAAATTTTTAAAAGGTCAGTTAGTTATAAAAATTTCCGTTTTGTCATGCAGCTTCGGAACTCTATAGCGTCTAAAGTAAAATTGATATTCTTAGGCTACGATTTTTTTTGTGAGCGGTAGCTTCAAACCTTTACTATTACATACTCACTACATACAATTTTTTATTTATAGCTGAATCTGTAAAAAAATCACTATTTTAAATTCCAAGTTCCGTTTTTGAGCAAGTTTAAAATAATAATCTTAAAATAATCTTAAAATCTATGGCGAATCACAATCAAGACTGTGACCTGCTGCTTGGGAATTCCCATAGCCAAAAATGTAAAAATTTGTAAGCGTTTGCGCGCGGAGGTCATTTCTTGGATTGTAGACTTGAATTTGATCTACGGTCATGCAAATGTATGAAAATACCAAAATCGCATGTGTTACTCTCAAATTTCAGCGTTTTTTTGAACCGTGATTCTTTTGAAAGTTTGACGAAAATGTCTGCATTTTGGCCCTCCTGCACCTTTCGTCATAAAAGAGATAATTTTCAAGCAGGCAGAGTCAGCCATCCAATTCCTTAATCAATTTTTTTCTAATGGTACCATACATTTGTGCACAAACTTAGACATTTCTACAGAGTTAAACACGTGCGATATTTTGCCAACCTAATACCATCTACTAACGTTGTTTGATAGCCATGAAATCACTTGCATTTTTACCATTTGAATGCTATGCATTCCACAACCATGGTAATCGTTCATATCTCCTTAATTCCACACAAAATTTGAACCTTAGCAGTAAGACTACAAATAGTATTGCACGCTGATTAGTACTGAAAAGAGTGCTTATCAAGCACATCTAGTTTTTAGCTCAATTTCCGGCCGATGCTACGAACATACATAACATCATCGAAGCGTTGAATATCCTCTTTATAAATGTGTGTATACCTCACGTATCAGCATGCACCAAATTGCTCATGAATGACACGCAATCGTGTCCTGCCCCTAATTGAAGAAACTGTGTAGCCATATATAGCTATTTGAAGCCATGCACTACAAGATTCTCATTAGTTAATTATTTAGCACATCCTGGATACTGTGAGAGTGGTTGGACTTACTACAACGAGACCGATGCTTGTTATAAGGTATGTATGTTAACTTTGGAATAGAAAAAATAAGATGCGTCGTCTAATTGTAACCATTAATTCTTACGACCTGCTCAAACTCATCTCATTCAGTGACTGAAGTGATCACATACGGGAAATGTGTAATATTTAGGCCCCACCTGGTTCAAATATTTTCTTTCATTTTTCCATAATAGCTTTTATTTGAGAGGGCAGACGATTTACTCGCTACTTAATGCAGGTAAATTGGTAAACGGTAAGAAGTACAACATGTACAATAAATTTACCGTAGTCAATTGTATTGTACAATGTACAATTCTGTACAATTGACTGCGGTAGATTTATTTTGATTTTCAACTTCTCTTCGCGAATGTGCATGATATAGGGTTGTCGGTTTTTTCATCGCTCACTGAGACCCACAGAACGCCAATCCATGGGCGGTCTAGGTATTGGTCATTAGGTCATTTGAACCAGATTTTTATTGTCTCTATTATAGCTCTATTTGTTCTCTGATCTACCTTGTTTTGCGGTGTTATCGCTATGGCTTCTTGGGCAGTACAATAGTAACACCAAATCTTCCCTGAATAAAAAAATTTTCTCCTGCTATTTTCAAGAGCGCCAGTAATTGTTATGTAGAGCAAATCTCTGGCTACATTGTGCTCATTTTGAATTACATGGGCCACGTTTATCAAATCCTTGATATCTATTTATTTTTATCCTTTATCTATCTATCTATCTATCTATCTATCTATTTATCTATCTCCTTTTTTATCCTTTATCTATTTTTTTTATCCTTAATATCCTTGATATCTATATCTATACCGGTGCTTTTTGATTATGTCTACCACGCAAGATTACCGAAAATCCCAAAAAGCTGATTTTTCAAAGTAAATTAAACTTGAGATTTTGAACAGATTATGTTTATTGGCAATCAAGGTTTAATTCGCAAAAACTTCAAAAGCTTTTTTTGCTGCAGTTGCTTGTTGCATGACTTTGCCAAAAATCGAGACCTCCGAAAAAATAATTTTGCAAAGCTAAAAACACAGGCTAGGAGAATCTAAAAATTCCACTGTATAGTCCGAGAATTGTTATATTTGTGCCATACTTAACTCTTTCCGAAATTTTGGAAATTTTCAAGAATTAGCCTAGCTCTGAGCAGATAAAAATGACGGGTGAAGAATTGTGGCAACTATCAAAAAAAAACATACAAGACTGTGGCTAGGAAATGTGACCGTAAGAAAGAGAATGAAAAGCTGCATAGAATGCATGTTAAAGCTCATTCAGGTCTTTATTGTGCATGGTTTTATATTAGTTTGAAAAAAGTGACAAAACTTTCGGGACAACCTAATTGTTTGAAAAAATTCCCAAATACATCAACCACAGGACGTGTTTAAGACATCGAACGAGTTACTCACTGATCATCGAGTAAGATTTCATAGTTGTTATTTTGCAAGAAATTTGTCTGATGTGAGATTTTATTCAATTGAATCTTAAGTTTTATGAGAGATTCAGAGCCCAGACTAAAAAGATCGAATATGAAACCATTGTAAATCTCTTGATTAAACTGAGCCAACTTTCAAATCAAACAAATAAAACAACTATCGATTCTTACTCGTTGACAAATGAATGAGTCGTTCGATCACTAACTTTTTCGACTTAAATTAAGAGACGCGCTACCTCACAAATTCTATGGAGTCCAAGCGAGATCGGTTAGGTGAGTTACGGACCTGGATTCTGAGTGAGCCGGCACTTGCATCAGGAGCCCACGTTTGCGCATCATGGGGCGGGCGCCTGCGTCTGACTGGTTTACGACCCGTACGAGAACACTTACCCCAGACAGGAGAATAATCCAAACCGCCCTGGACATGTTTTGTCCATCCTTGCTTCTCAGCTATATCCATGGTTTTTGATTTCACTCGGCAGTGAATGCTTCGCCTTTTCATGGCTCTCCACAACGTTAATTCCGCGCGATTCGCAAGTCGCTAACCCAGAAAAGTTGGCCACAATTAACGCTTTCTCCTTTTTCAGCTAGTATGTGATCAATGAATTTCCTCTCTTGGTCTCTTGTGCCTGTCTTTTGTGTAGCCTTTGGATTGTTTCATACCGCCTACTGATCGCACCGACCGCGCTGAGCGCACTGATCTCACTGACAGCAGCAGCCAGCATGAGAACGCAACAGTGAATTCGATGCAATGCTCTGCGCGTTACTTTTTTTTCTAAAAAAGGGTCTAATCATTATTTTTGTAGATGAGTTACACATCTGTTAAAGAAAACCAAGCTCGAGCTTGATAGAAAAGTGCGCATGCGGTCTTTGACTCCCAATCCCAAAGTGATTTGTCGCTTGCTGCTTTAAGTTATGATAATGAATGTAAGAGGATATGAAGGTGTCGGGCTAATTGACACATGATTCTGTGTGGAACTAAAACACTACAAGTTAAAAAGGTTGCCACAACCTTGCCAAATGAACCAACCAACAACCACCACACGAACGACACTCGTTTATTGCCGATTACCTCAAACTTGAGTAATTAAACCCTCATTCTGCTTGAAATATACACACACATAAACAACGAAGCATCAACATGAAAAAGTGACGAAATCACTAACAAATGGTTGGAACTATGATGACGATAAGTCAAACCAAAATAATATCTTGGTCATGTGAATTTGGACTACTTGCAAGAAATGTACAAGAGGGGATTAGGAAACATATGATAGGAGTGTTGAACGTGCCATCCTACAAGGAATGAGCGGATAGTAAGGCAACACAAGCAATGAGTGTAAGTGATGGAAAATGCATGAGTAATAATGACTAAGTATCAGTGGCGTACCCAGGATTTCGGCTCGGGGGGGGGGGGCGCGACAAAATTTTTTTTTCAAAGAAGGTGCGTGGCGTCAGCCACGCACTCCGAAAATTTTTTTGGGGTGCTTCTCAAAACTTTTGCGGGTCCCCGACCCCTAAAATCTAGAAAAAGGGGGCGTGGCGTCAGCCACGCCCCCGAAAAATTTTTTTTTACAAAGCTAATTTGAATTTTTAAAAATTTTTAAAAATTATTTTAATTATTTACAAAAATAAACAAGTCACTTGCACATTTTTATAACCCACATAGGTAACTTTCAAAAATTTCGCGACCCATTCTCGGGGGGGGCGCGCGCCCCCCCCCCTCCCGCCCCCCCCTCGGTACGCCACTGCTAAGTATATATAGACGTTCGCTTGCTGGTTCCATCGTTCCTTCTGCAGCTGCAATCGTTTTTGTCGGTGGACCGAGATCTTTTTGTCGAAGGGAATGTCGCATCTGGCATCGTGGACTCATTCCTTGGCGTTCCGCAACTAGCCTTTTATTTAGCAAGCATTGCGATCCGTGAACGTCTCAACTGGTACTGAGGGGTCATCGTATGCAACTCTCATGCACTATCTTGCTCAATTGCATCGCGATTCGCGATACAAGTCGTGGCCCATGAATGTTTGAGAATAAACTTCGAATATGCAAACGTTAGCAACTTTTATCAAAGACACAAGTCATTAACGGGAGAAGAATTACTAAGTCAGGGTGTACAGAGTTTCTGCATTTCAGAATGTCGCTGGACTGGGCCAAACTGGGCCAAACTTGACACACGTACACTTCGAGGTGGGACGGTGTCGTAGGCTGCTTTTCGTTATCGATTCATATCGATTATATCGATTTTTTTGCAAAGTTTGTGCTACGAGGATGGGAATAAGTACAAGGGTGGCTAAGTGAGCATGCTGATCTTGAATACAATATTAGTTTTTGGGATTCTCGACCACTTTTATAGAAATTTTCTGCAAAGTTTGACCTACGGGGCTGAGAGCTGGTCCAGGGAGGTGAGCGGGTATGCTGATCACGAATCAATATTAGTTTTGGAACTTCCAGTACCTATCAACTTTATCATTTTTTTGCAAAGTTTGACCCACGGGGCTGGAACTTGTACGTGGGGAGGGGAGGGAGGGGGAATTAAGTGAGCTTGCTGATTTCGAATACTATATTAGCTTCTGAGATTATCGGCTATGTTATCAATTTCATTAATTTTTTGAAAGTTTAGCTACGGAGCCGGGACTTGGCACAGGGGGATAATTGAGCTTGCCGATTACGAATTAAGTAATAGTTCTTAAAATGAACAGCTGCAATTATTTTGCTTTGCCGTACAGGTTGTTAATGGTGATACAATTTTGTTGCCTGACGTTTCGGCAGGACGCCGTCTTCAGAAGCTGAAAAGTCACAAATACGTTTTCAGCCGCCAAATATCTCCTCCCATTTGCCACTCGATTCGTCTCAGGCAAAAATAGAGAGTTTGGGAGGAGGTGTCAACCCACCAAGCGTATCACCGTTAGCTCGTAGTTACTTAAGATGAATCGACTGTTGTGATTGAGTGCGAGCGCAAATGAGCACCGAGATTGAGTGCAAATGAGCACCGAGATGACACAGTGCTGCTTAACTACGAGTCAACAGTCTTATAGTTCGCAAAACGATAGATACGGTAGTAGGTCACTCGCAATTGACAATTTTTCATTCTTGCCGTTTAGATTCGGATCCTGGGCAAGAATGTAGGCTGATGTTCGTAGGCTAATTTTGCACCTGACATCAACAGCACAGCCATGTTCTACCATTCTACATATGCTTTCCTAGTGGATTTATCATGCTTTTCCTCTTTTTGCTGGCTAAATGTTTGTTGACCCGTACACCTAATGGTCGGCCGGTTTCACCTATATAGATGGCAGAGCACTTCGTGCATTCAATTTCATGAATGGCGGCGGCTGAGAACGTATATTATTGTGACTGACACCTTTTCAGCCTCTGAAGACGGCGTCCTGACGAAACGTCAGGCAATAAAATTGTATCATCAAACCTGTACGGCAAAGCAAAATAATTGCAGCTGTTCATTCAGAAAAACATGCCCAGGTTCAAAGAACCTTCAAGAGTTCTTGAGATTATCGATTACCTTTATGGATTCTAAGTATTTCTTGCGAACTTTGAGCTGCAGGGCTAGGGGTTGGCATAGAGGGAAAGGGGTAAATGAATATCTTATCTTGTTAAGACATATGATAAATGTCTACCCTATCACTGCACAATCTTTTCCTGTGCCCACGCTACATGCCAAATTTCTATCCCCGTTTTGTTTTCAAAACAGCATGTCACCTACTTCCCCCTCCCCCTCCCCCCGCCAACTCCCAGCCGCGTAGCTCAAACTTTGCAAAAAAATCAATAAAACCGATAAAGGTGATCGATCAATCTAAAAAGTAATATTGTAATTGCAATCAGCATGCTCACTTACCCCCCTGCGTCAAATTCCAGCCTCGTAGCTCAGACGTGGAAAGGAATTCATAGAAATCGATGAAATCGATATTGATCGATAACAAAAACTAGCCTATGACACGCTCCCTGCCCGAAGTGTATGTGTGCCATGGTCCAAATCGGTTTAAAAATAAAATTTTCTATTCCGCACATACACACAGACATACAAACAACATTCAACTTTATTTATAAGGTTAGGTATAAATTATTATTGATCTTTCCGAAAGTGATTTCGCTTTTCCCACGAGTGTAGCAACCGCAAACAAAGGTCCCTCAAAGATTCTGCGCGCATTTGAGATTTTCGTCTTACAAGGTGGTTTTTATACCAATTCAATTAACAAGCTTTCAAAAAACGATCGAATCTACGACCTATAGTTTCTGACATAATGAAGTCTCTAATTATACGGATTTTCGTATCGACAACTTGAGTACAAACAACAAATGGATGAAGCAAACTAAGGATAAAAAATTAGGATAAAAAGGATAAAATTTTTTTTCTTCTTCATGACTATTCATAGTTTTTTTGATAATTTTGGGTTTATGCTAATTTAACAAAGTAAATGTTATGTTAGCGTCCTTATTCGGTCAAGTCAAACTTCGCAGAACATCATGTACTGTCCGATGCAGTTTTTTTTTCGTCTGAGAGGCGTTTTTTTTTAATTGTGAAGTTTTCAGCGATAGAATTATCATAATTCTTGATATTGAAGCTGCCCTGGGGTATCCGTATGCAAAATCTGATTTTTCAACGCGATAAGCGCTCAGCTGTTACGTATATTCAAAGTTTGATAATATCCGATTTTTGAAAGTTGTGTCTTCGTCCAACATAAATCTGCGGATCTTTCAAGCATATACACTCCACACGACACGTTCATATATGTATAGGCTGCTGCATGACGAAGGCGCAATATCTGCGGGCGCGAACGCGGCTCTATTAGCCGCAGAGCGCATGAGGTGCGGGATCCACAACGGTGAGGATACGCGCGCGTCGCGTTCGCGCCCGCTCAGCTAATATCACCATTGCGCCTTCGTCATGCAGCAGCCTTTAGTTTCTGTATTTGTTCCCATTGAAAAAGGTAAAACTTCTAAGCTTCTGAAAAAGCGATGTTAAGCTGTCCCCCACATAAATAATGTATAACAAGCCTCTAACAGCAACAGCAGCTTCCTACAAGCTCTACTTCTTGAGAATTATTGATTTTAACACAAAAGACTTCACGAAATGCTGAATTTGATATATCCAAAGACCAACGCTTAGGAAGCAAAACATTTACGATTGCATTGCTAATGGTTTGTTGTATACATTCGCTCATGTGGGAACAGCACCGCATCGCTTTTCTAGAAATTTGCAAATTTTAGTTTTCTCGGCCTATCGCTTGTAAAGAATCACAGCAACGATATATGAACGTTTTGCATGGAGTATATATCGAGTAGAAGGTTTTGCAAGTTTTTTTTGAACGAAGGTATAAATTTTCTGAACTTTCCGGGACCCAAAAATTCTTCGATTGGCTCCTAAGTTAAAGTACATTAGCTGGTACGAACGCTTGCAAGCCCTTTTATGGAGCTTGCTTTGCTCTGTTGAATGGTAACCTGCATACTGATTGAAACCAAGAAGTGTATGACTTATTGCGCGAGAAATTCAATTTTGAAACACCTAATATACAGGGTTTCCCAGAATTATGTACTCACAGTTTGATTTCTTGGCGCTATATCATTGTCTGTGTATTGCAAGCAAGTCGTTTCTTCACCAGTTAGTAAATTTTTTACATCTAAATGTTGCACTGTAGAAAAATTGCTTCGCATTCTTCGTACTTTAATAAAATGCTTCCTTATTTTTACGATAAAGCAAGTATAACTTTCCCGAGGTTCCGCCTCTGACTCTTTACCAACTTGTTGCTCTTTTCCTCAGAACCAGCAGAACGATAACCAGCATACCCATGTGTCACTCGTTTCGAGCTGCCAAGCTCTGCTTGAAACGTGATTGTTCATTGTCCCTACTTTCTGAGGGAATTTGCGCGCGCCTTATAAGCTTAACTTGAAAGCGTTCATAATGTCCGCAGATATAACATTCCTGGTTCGATCGTTTATCAACTGACTTGTAGAATTTGCTCAATTCGGACTTTAACAATGCCGAGAAAGTATGTATCACTACGGGAGGACATCTGACTTCGATCCATAGCGAAGAGGAAAATTTTTTTATAGCTGGTAAATTCATTGTTCAATGAGAATGCGGATCGCTATGTTTTGTGATTCAGAGTTAGCAAGGTCGGGTATAAGTCATACCGATTGCTGTGGCTGGGCGACTTGGATAGGTCTCAAAAGATACAACGGAAGTTGGGCATGGACTGATGGCACGACGGTTGACTTTGTGAAATGGGGACCTGGAGAACCAAATAACTGGGAGAATTCACAAGACTGTGTATTCGTAAGTTTCAATTCTTTTTAATTAAAATTTTGATGGTCTCTACATTGCACTCCTTCTACATCAAGCCTTAGGGCAAAATTATCCAGGTTTTCACAACTGCATAAAAATCTTATATATATATATAGCTGAATGTCTGCTTGTTTGTCCGTTTGTGTGTGTATGTGTGTGTGTGTCTGTGCGTATGCTCCGAATAGGAATTTTTATTTCTGAACCGATTCGGACCAAACTTGGCACACATATAGGCTGTACCAACAGCAATATCATTCAGCATCGGTCTCGCGCTAGTGTGCATAGCGATGACGCACTGTCGCATGCGACGTGCTTTAACGCGTAGCAGAGTTCGCGCGCATCATGCCGCGCTGTAGCTGCTTGCCGCATGCGCGATGTCGCATAACCGATGCTGAATGATACAGCCTATACACTTCGGGGCGGAGCGGGTGTCACAGGCTACTTTTCGTCATCAATCGATATCGATTTTATCGATTTTTTAAAAGTTGCAGCCACGGGCTGGGAGTTGGCACAGGGGGTAAGTGAGCATGCTGATTAAGAATATATTATTGACAGGGCCGGGCGGAGACAGTTCGACCAAATTGGTCGTTAAACAAAAGATATAAATAGAGTTTGAAAAAGAGTGGTAGAACAGAAGCAAGAGAGGAATGGAGAAGAAAAACTGTCGTTTTGACAGTTCGACTCAGTTGGTCGTTCAATAGAGAATGTGAGGAGTAAGGATAATTTATATTAATTGTAATGTTATAGTTGTATTAGATTTGTGAATTGTATTCAAAGAATGTGAATTGTAATAGTAAAGGAAGTTTGAAGAGATGAAAGGATTGTAATGCAATACTATTGATTTGATATATTAGGTTGGCACGAAATTTCTTGCGCAATTCAAACAAAATTCAATAACTTTTCAAAGACTGAACATAAATTCACAATCTTGTATGCTAAAAATATCAGAAGTCTCACGCTCTATGATGGAGGTTCAAGCACAACATTCCATGAGCTAGCCATCGAAAACGAAGCTCTCAAACATGGGGCCTCAAATTTTGCAATTTTGAGTTTGGTGGCAGAAAATCGCAGAGGGCCGCTAGCTAGCCGAAAAAAATCTGTAGAATTTATTTGCACAGCAAAAGTCCATACGCTATTTTAGCAGGCTTTGATTTCGCATGGAAATGCGAAAACAAAAAATTTGCGAAATTTCTCATTTCACAGGACAAATCGCCTTATCGCTCTAATTTTCCCTCAAAAAAACAGTTTGCAACCAGAAATTAGACAGTGCCTATTTAGGGCCTTGCGACGCTTTTTCGATTGTAAAAAAGTGTTTTCGCCGTAAAACTGCGGACATGAGGGGATCTTTTCCGCAAAATGACATATTTCACGAATTTTTTGTTTTTGCATCACCGTGCAAGATCAAAGCCTTCCAAAGTAACATATAGATTTTTGTTGTGTAAGAAAATTCTACAGGTTTTTTTGGCTAGCTAGCGGCATTCTGCGAATTCTGGCACCAAACTCAAAATCGCAAAATTTGAAGTCCCATATTCGAGAGTTTCGTTCTTGATATCCAGCTCACAAAATCTTATGCTTAAACTACCATCATGAAGCGCAAGGCTTCTGATATTTTTAGCATACAAGATTGTGAATTTAGGTTTAGTCTTTGAAAAGTTATTGAATTTTGTTTGAATTACGCAAGAACTTTCGTGCCAACCTAATATAAACCACCAATTAGGTTTTGAAGTAATAATAGAATAAAGTCAATTCAGTGTCCGGACCAAACTTGGCACACATACACTCGGGGCCGGGCGGGAGTCATAGGCTATTTTTTGTCGTCGATCGATATCGATTTTATCAATTTTTTGAAAAGTTCCAGCTACGGGGCTGGGAGTTGGCGCAGGGGGAAGTGAACATGCTGATTAGAATATATCATTGACAGGGCCGGGCGGAGCCGGGTTTGCCAGCTAATATGTAGTAAAATCAATCACTTCTAAGGAAAAAATAAATAAATTTCCCTTAGCAAAACCTTTGCGTTTAGTAGAGTGGATAATCGATATAATGTCTGCGGTGCGAGGCTGGTGCATGAAGAAAATGCTATACTTGTGATGCCCACGATGCATATGACTATGAGGTGCTTATTTTCAACTTACAGACCATTGCCATTGTTTTACGTGCAAGTATTGTCGGTCTACAGAAACTATATAACAACATCATTAACCTTTGAGATGACTGTTTTGCCCAACAGAGTCTTTGGTAGAAGGTAATGCTTTTCGGCCACACAACGACTTCCATTCGTTACCTAGAAACATGTGTCGGTTTTTATTTTGGTCAATTAATTGGGGAACGTCGTTTTTTTCCAAAGAAAAAGCGGAATTCTAGCAGCTTTTTAGCAAGAACTCAATCACACTGCTGTTTATAATTAGATCTATGCTAACACTTATAAAGTTCAGTTTGGTTGCATCATGTGCCAACTTGGTAGGACCTAGCCTAGAGGTTTGCCGAGCGCTCTGTGCTCGCGACACATTCGACGCATCCTAGCCTCAACTGAACTTAGAACTAGGTTTGGAGCTACTCAACAAATAGTCGACTATCTATTCTGAAAATGTTGATGAAGCATAGCTATAGCTACACTAAAAAAGGAACAGCTTTTTACCTCGAGATGAGAACATCTTGCACGAGTTTTGCACTGCACTGCACTATACGACCAACAATTTGGCCACCTTGTAAAAGCTCATCTTCAAATTTATTTCAGGTGGCCGCCGATTTTTATGCAGACCAGAAGAAAGCAGCAGGTCATCAAAAATGGTCCGACTACGGGTGCACTGTTTCTATGAGGTCGTATGTATGCAAGAAGAACGCTTTGCATTAGATGCAAAAAATTTATTACTGTGGTCAAAAGTCTTAATTGGATTTCGCGAATTTCCATAAATTTTTCTGACTCAAGACTTAAGCACTAGGAAGCTACAGGAGATTTCAGCTACGAGTTATTGTTTAAACTTTTGTAAGTGTAAAAAACTCGTGAAGGCGGGAAGCTGACCAAGAAAATAAGTGAAATATCTGCTATGCAGGGCAGGCTTTACAGGATGGCCCCCTTGAATTGACACGTGTGTCGCTCTAGCTTGCCACGCGGGACTTTGAGGACGTGCGCGAGTCGGTTCGAGTGTTACCTCAAACTTGGGTAATTAAACCTTTATTAAGACTAACAAATAACAAATAATGCGCAAAGGTGCTAAACTAAATCCTACAACTATTCTAAGTACAATTACATGATAACTGATTATAAGAAAGATGGTTTTTTAATTAGTTACTCCGTTTCGTCCCTTTCCTTAGACGGAGTTTTAAGATCTAGACCCTCTCCGGGACTCTTCAGTAAGGAGAGAGGGTCTAGTTTCATTTTCCAAAGAAATTATTTTGAAAAATTGTAAAACTCAACTTATAATCCGATTGTCGTCCGATTCTTCTTTTCTGTCGTGTGATCTTCTGTGTTGCAAAATAAGAATGGACTTGTCTTGACTTGTTTATTTTCATTGTATTATCATTTGTGTTGAATATATCATTTATACTTCGTTTCATATATATTGGTTGATATATCGGTTCAACAATTCATGTTTGTATTTTATAATATATTTTTTCGACTCAGTTTCTTAAATTCATCATTAAATATATTGTATTTATATAGTATGAATGGATTTCTATTCAAGCATTTGAAAATTGATGATGATATTATACTTATGTCATATTTATTTTTAAGTAGTATATCTCTGAGTTGTGAGATTTTTTGCAGAAAATCGTTCAAGTATGTACATGTTCTTGCTATTCTGAGAGTTTCTGTATATATGGTTGCCTTTTTAATGTTGAACGAGATACTAGATGTAGAATGTATGGATCTTCTAACGTTAAAATTGAAATAGTCAGTTTTATTATATAATTTTGTAATCAATTTATTGTTTATTATTTCAATATTTAGGTCGAGATAGTTACAGCTGTAGGTGTTCAAGTGTGTAGCTTCTATTTGAAGTTTATGTTCGTAAATTTTTTTGACTAACTTGTGTATAGTATTTTCTTCTAAGTTATGAATAAGTAAAAGATCATCCATATATCTATAAGGTATTATTTGGAAATTGTTTGTGATATTTTTTATAGAATACCTATATTCGTACCAAGAAAGTGTAAGATCTGCTAATAGTGGGCTGAAGTTACCACCTTGAGGACCAACTTTTTGTTTCAATGTATAAATGCTAAAGCGACAGAAACTATTATCTAGAATATAGTCTACTAAATATAGTAAATCTACTAAAGTATAAGACCTGGATTTTGTGCTCAAATGTGTCGTATCGCTGCTATAATAAATTCTATTGTTTCCGCTGATTATAATGTATTTTTCATTTGCATTGTTGAAACATAGTTCTAAAAGTTCTTTTATATTGGATTTAATAATGTCATGGGGTAGACTTGTAAACATATTTGTAAAATCAGCAGAGAAAATCTTCATGTTTTTCATGTTAATATTTGTTAGATTTTCGCTGATGTTAATGTTATCTATAGTCCAGTATCCGTTAAAATTGTGATTTCTATTTTTTATAGCTTGCAAGTATTTTTTGAAATGACTTTTAATGAATGTGAAAATCATTTTTAATTCGATAGCTAGTGGTTTTATACTGCTATGTGTAGCACCAGTTATGAATCTGAATTTGGTAGGTGTTTTGTGTAATTTTGGAACTGCATATATGAGAGGAATATTGTTAACTTTTTCGAAATGTAATTTATTGCTATTGCAAAAAATTTTGTGTCTGTTGATGATTTCTGTATTATTTTCCATTGTGTATATGTCATACGTTGAATTTTGTAAAAATTGTAAATTTGGTCCTTTTAAATTAATGCCTAGTTCATTCATTAACTTTTGTATATAAAATTTGATACATATCAGACCAAAATTATTGCTGGCTTTATCTAATGGACATATCACGAAATTATTTCTTAGTTCTTTGAAGTATTTGGAATTGAAATCATAACTATGTTTGTTTTCTAATCTTGATTTGTAAAGAAGTGGTTTTAATTTATGTAGAAATTTTTTTGAGAGGTATTCTTTTATGTTGATGAGTTTCTCATTGCTTATTTTGTATTTTTTGATATATGTGTTCATAATCATTTCTACAGTTGCCTGTATCCATTCAAGTACTTCTCTTTTGTTGGTGCTTTGTTGTAATCTATATTTAGTGCCTTTACTCATTATTGATTTCAGACGCTTATCTTTGATTATATCCAGATTTCCAGTAATTATATGTCCGTGGTTGCTGTCAATAAATTTTTCTTTATCAGGTTCCTTGCAATTGCATTTTTCTGACAGAATTTGTTTTAATTTATCTTCGTCAAGTTTATTAAGGATAGAGTTGTAGTTAAAGATTTTTTGTGATATTGGCTCTTTATACAAGTATACCAGTCTGCAGGGGTTGTATTTTACATTAGGGTTTTCTAAAATGTTCTTTATATAAGTGCTATTAATGATTTTATTCAAATTAACTTGATCTAATATTTGGTGAATGTATTCAACTTTAACATTTATAAATTTAGAATTTGATTTTTCTTTTTTGTCATTGTGGAACATATACTTACACAGAATACTCAATGTAATTGATTTTTTATTTTGTTCTATTTTGTTTAGAAATTCGGAATCAAAGGATGCTATGATTATTTGTTTTATAAAGTTTTTCTTTAAAGAATGAATATATTTGAAAATGTCATGATGGGTGATTGTATGGTTGATAGTATTAACGAAGATGTCTATTGTTTCTTTGTTTTTATTCTTATTTCTATTTTTGCTGCGTATTCTGTCTTTGATGATTTTTAAGCTGTAGTAAGGATGGGTGTCTTTATGTAGGAGAGGATTATTGATATCAGATATGTTTCCATAACCTTTTATGTTATCATTCAATCCGAATGGGTATGCAGTATTGAGTAATTTGATCCAAAACAATTCTTTATTCATCAATATAGTTTTATTTTCGTTATTTTGAAGGCTGTCTAGTATTTTAATGGTTATTTTTTTTGTTGCAACATGTTTTGAAATGATTGTATAGAAAGTTGTCTATGTCATTCTTTTTCGAATGATAGATGTGTTCTTTTATTCTATATTTAAGTTTACGTGTTGTCATTCCCACATATTGCTTATTGCATTCTTCACATGTGACACAGTAAATTACGTTGCTGTCTTCGCAGCAACTATTTTTCTTACAATAAGTGTGAATTTTCAATCCTGTTGAAGTACTTATTATAAATGGACTATGATCCATTAACTTGCAAACAACACATGTGGAGCAACATGCAGTTGTCATGTGATTATTTCCGAAATTATCTAATGTGTATTTATTGTTTATCCTACTTTTATGAAATTGTGTAAACATAAAATAATTATCATCATCGCAAGACACAGTTTTTTTAGACCACTTGACTAACTCTCCAGTCGGCAGGTCCTTACCCTGGAGAGTTTGGGAGATAATGATTCGGCAGGGCTGCTGCCAGGGTTTATGACAGACCCTATTAGTGTTTGATGAATTTTTTGAAACTTAGTTTACTTTTGAATAAACGGGACCTACGGAGTCGCAGGAGGGGTATCCCCCACGTCCCACCGTCAACCGCTGGTATTACCCATCGTAGAGTCCCCCTATTTTTATAAACAAGAGGTATGGCCCTCTTCTCAAAGAATGTCTACGAATTTACAGTAAACTATAACCTTACGATATAAAATAAAAAATAAACTTACCTATGTTATTGGTATTAAAAATAATATAATATTAAATATAATTGACTTTATTGTGAAAGTTGTATATTGATAAAATTGGATATTTTGAATTTAGTGTAGATAACTATTATGAAAATATATTTATAAACTAAGTGTAATAATCAATTAATGGGGAATATAATAAATAACAATTAAAATTAATATTAAAATTAGCAAAAATATTGATTGTTTTTATGATATTATGTTGTAAGATAAACAATCTAAGTGAATTTTTGATAAAGTGTTATTATAAGATAAAAATAGCTGCAGTTGCTTTATCTTTTCTGAAAAAAAGTGGATAAGTTTATTATCAAATAAAGTTGTTGATAATAGAAGAATCATATGAATATTGTCTGTTGATAGTGTGAATCGATTTGTAGAAAAGAAGAAAGATGAAACTGTCTATTCGACAGTGCGACCCGATTGGTCGAAAAGGAAGAATATGAAGCTGTCAATTCGACAGCGCGACCCAATTGGTCGAAAAGGAAGAATATGAAGTATGAAGCTGTCAATTCGACAGCGCGACCCGATTGGTCGAAAAGGGAAGAGTGTGATGCTGTCAATTTGACAGTGAGAATAGTCGAAAAGATATGAAACTATTGATAGCTGTACGAGAAATGATAATGAAATAGGGAATTAAAGCTGGAATAAGTGATGTGTAGAAGCTATTCAATCTTAAGAACGAAAATAGATTGAATGTTGTATATAGTCGACTCCAAAGATAACTTTCATGAATTTGAAAGTTCAAAGTGGATAATTGACAATTGATAGTGACTTATTTTATTTGGTTGACTTCGAATACTAAAGTCAGAAGCAGAACAGATTATTATTGTAAGAGAATAATTGTTCTTGATGCTTGAGATTGTTTCAGAAGCATTTATATAGGTGATAAAAATGTTATTTCTCATTCTAACTACTGATTCCACCAGTTAGTGTTCAAGGTGTATTTAAAATGAATATTGTTTCGTTTCTCAAACTTGGTGGCTTGTTTCATTTTATTCATTTTTGTATGCTATGATGGTCGATATTATACCACAGGATTATTATATTGTCGTTCTGTCGTGTCGACTGAAAGAATGGTGAGTTTTACAGCGTTAGTAGGCAGTTTGTACAACGACATTGTATGAAAAAAGCAAATTAGGCAAGTTGCGAAGGCGTAATTGGA